CCGCCACCCGCTAACGGCAGCCGTGGGGAAGGAGGGCAGAGGCGATGGAGGACTGGTCAGCCCCATCCTCGCTCTCCGGATGAACCAGTGGGAAATCCCCACAGAAGGCAGAAGCGGTGGCCAGCAGCCTGGTGGCAAGAGCCCGCCACCAGCAGCCCCTCGCACCTGCATGGTGTCGCGCATCCCCACCCAGCGCCGCTCCTTGGAGGAGGAGGATGGTGAAGGCTGCACGATGGTGCAGGAAAGCCCCGGCATCGAGGCATTGTGCAGCGGGAGTGATGGGGAAAGGCTGGCCGGGGGAGGCAGCCGCTTTCTGCAACAGCCTTCAAAGAGTTTTCCTTAAGTGTTACTGCTCTTTAGGGCTTCCTTCTCCAAAAAAAGAAAAAAAAAAGGGGGAAAAAAGGCGACGAGGAAGAGCAATCTCTCGGTGCAGGATGAAAGCGGCCTGTCTTGACTATTTACCCAGCAATTATAAGTAAATCGGTGGTGCCTAACGGGGCCGGTTGCCATAGTGACGATGGGATGGAAGGACCAGCATTTGGTCCTGGCCGCAGCCAATCAGGCTGGGAAGCCCAAGCTGCAATATAAAGTAAAGATTCCCATCTTCCAGCCACACACTTGCCAAGAAAGGGAAATAGGTTCAAGAGTCGGGGGGAAAAAAAAGTGCTCCGGACGGCGGCAAGCAGGGCGGCTGCTCCCGTCATGGCGGACTGCGAACGCCCGGGCAGGTGAGAAATCCCAACTCTCCCCATCTCCCCGCTTATTGTTCTCCTGCGCCGCGGTCCCCTCCGCACTCCAAACACTATTGCTGTAAGCGTCTTTTGGTCAGGGAATGAAACTTCATACTTGGTGCAACCTCTTTCATTAACCGCTTGTCTTTCACATTTTACATAACTGAGTTTGTGGACATTAGAGTGACATCTTAATAAAGCAGGGCTGTAAACCTCAGTCACCTTTCCCAATGGCCACTAACAACTCAAGAGCATTGGTCCAGGACAACTACATTTTTATGTAGCCAGCAGTAAGAATACAGCTGTATGTCTGGCCTCAAATCTTACGCTTTCCAGGAAAAAAAAAAAAAAAAAAAAAAAAAAAAAAAAAAAAAAAAAAGAGGGGGGAAAAAAGAAAAAAAGGGGGAGATGGAGATAAAAAAAAAAAACGTGAGCGAGAAAGAGCGGCGCCTAAATTGCTCGTCGTCTCCCCATCTCATTACTCGCGACTTCTGAGGACGGGTATTTCCAAAGGCTGCTATGAAAGACTTGTGAATGGGGCCCCCCCCATATGAGATCAAAGCCCGAGGGCCGGGACGGCGGGGTGTGCCGGAGGAGGGGGCGAGCGGCGGCGGCGCCGCAGGATGGGGGGGGGGAGCCTTCCCCCCCTGCTGCCGCTGCCCTCCATGTTTCCCGGTGTCGCTGCTGCCGCTGCCTGACCCATCTTGCAATGGAGACTGGGGACGGCGGCCAGAGCCCAACGGCTGAAATCGAGACGAGCAAAGTCCACCGGCTCACAGTTCGGCAACTCTCCCAAAATTTGCGATTAATAAAGGAGCTTATTCCAGCCGGGACCTCTCTGGACACCTCGAATTGCAGATGAGCAGGCGGCTTCCCCATGGCTCGAGCCCACTCCTTGGGTCTCTTCCCTTCCCACGCCGCGGCATGGCGAGCCCAGCGGGCCACCAGCAGAAGGGCCGAGGACAAAGGCAGGAGGACAGAAGTTGTGCCACTTTCCCTTCCCGCTGCCTCCCTTCAAATACGGGCTGCTTTCTTCGGCTCAGTGACAAATTCGGCTCCGGGCAGCATTCCCACCATCGGCAGACAGGCGCCCCATGAGCGGCACGGAAAGCAAACTCACAGATGGTAAAATAGAGAGTCGT